CCGGGATACAGGAGCGCTGGTGCAAGCAAGAAAACCTTTGTGCCAATTCTTATGCCAAGATATGGGACCAAATCAAATTAGTCAAGACATCAAGCCTCAAGAGTAAGTCCTGTCGTGATAACCGCGTTTCTTCGACCATGAAGATAGACGGTGACCGTAACTTAATGACTCCCGACATATGCAATGTAATCTCCGATGCGGCGCAGGCACTATTTCAATCTGACAGCCACGTGTTTAACGTTTTACACAGACTTCAGCACAGCTTGCAAACCAGCTTGTCACCAACCCGATGCCAATTTTTACAATTTGACGCTTGCTACTGCATAACGCAAGGAGCGCATAGATGATATATGAAACTGCCACTGAGATGTAGGTCAACTACAAGCGCTTTTAAGATCCGGGTACCACCGAGGAAGCTTTTGAGCGAGTGATATTGCCGTTCCGATCGCACACGCATCATTGCGCACAGCAACATCGTCACCACATTTCTAGTAAAAACAAAACGAGATGGCTATCCTTGTTTACCAGGTTTATCTCTATCGTGGAGCCAAGGCCGGGCAGTTTTATGTAAAGTCGAACTCTGTTCTGTCTTAGCTCTAGGTAATGTTTATCCTGCTATTTCTCGTGCCAATGCTTGATAAATTTCAGCACAGACCCCATCGTATCCCAATACGTACTAAAAGTTACAGAGCTTTGCATGAGTCTTACAGTAACCCCGAATGGATTTATTGATAGAGAAAACACATACGAGTTAGTGAACGATTGTATTGGTAGGCCGACAGGTACAAATTGGTAAATACGTCTGTGCGCAAATGTGAAACATGACAATGTGCAATCTTTTGCGCGTAAGTTTGCCTGTTCCGGTAGTATGCTGGCAGTTGACAAGTATGCTCTATGTTTTTGACTTTCTAAGGAAGTAAAAAAGGAGGGAAGAAATTTTGATTTTGTGGTCTTAGTGGACTTCTGAATCCTATAGTTTAACTTGCTTTACGATGGACGACACAGATGCCGTCATCCAATTAATTTCTTTGTCAACATGAAAGATTGTGACTTCCAATTGCTTTCATCTCCATTGGCTCTGACGTATGACACAACATATCAGAGCTGATTTTTACCATGATGCACTCTGGGTACCACGGAAAACAGTCGTGCTTTCTCATCGCAACAGACTAAACTCAGCAGACCACGATATGCAATCGCTCTTTTCTGTTTCATCTTTGGATCTTTGCTTATTATCGCTTTGACTTTTACTTTTGCTCGAGGCACCTAAAAATACAATTGCTATCATTTTCGGACTATCACATGTTCTGCACGGCGCTATCGCAGCTTTGGGCTCGCAACAGAAGTGCTTTTGATTTCTGGCAGGGTGTCTTCATGGATCACCAATGCTCCGCCAGGAAAAGGTGCGTGGACCTGACTTTTTCGACCTCCGGTCGACACATGTCTCAGAATTGCAGCCGCGTCATGCCTAGAAAAAAACATATTTAGAATCTGAGCCAGAACTAGACAAATTTGCGCCAATAAACTCCATAAACTAAGTTTGAGATGTGGGGGTGAACGTCAATTTTCGACACTTACTGACAAATATCATCGGGTCCATTTGGCTTGAGGTGCTTAAATCTTCCAAACCGGGTTGTAGCCTTAGAGTAGAAGATAGTTCTGCTACAGGAGCTTATCAAAAAAATAAAACTAGAGCGCTCCGATTATGAAAAGTTCGATATGTGAAGCTCGTGCATTTTCTAAAGTAAGCCTACGTAAACCAAAGAATGTGTTCGCATTCTCTGAGGGCTATTGAACGTACAGATAGTTGCCTTTTTTGCTACCGCCATAAATCATTTGATATATTCAGAGCGCAGCTCAAACGTATACTGCATGTGAGTTAAGTTTCATAATACCGTACAACCCAGTTTAAAACGGCATCTGTGTGCAGCTTCTGCGCCATCCGGCTCTTAGCCATAACGTCGCGCACTCGGCTTATGGCGCATCATCTTGTGCAGATCTTTTCAAATTTGAGCCCGAGATGATATAAACAAACCGAATGATCTTAGAAACACCTTTTCACCAAGATTGAAACCACATTGCGGTGTTGTCAAAGAAAGTGGAATTAAACAATCCATTAAACAAACTGAGAAATAGCCTGTAAAGGCGCTAACTGTTATATTCAATCCAGACTTAATTCGTGATAGCATCTTGTTGTGGTACCGCGGATGTGGCGGAGGATGCTCTTTATCACGAAATCAGCTTTATTTTAGCATTTTGTGAATGGACTGCAGTAAACATGTCGAATGTGGCACCAAGCAAATGAAGAAAGATCGTCAGAAAGTATTTGCTTTAAAGAGTTATCTTGCATGGAGACAATGAAAGTTTAACTATTGTCACGATATGCTAAGACTTGCTGAGTTAGCCGTTCAAAGCAGTGCAGCTCCACTTGTAAGATACAAGATTAAACATCCACTCGTGTATATCAAACCGAAAGCGGTTTCAACAGCAATATGCGCGCCCTTACGTCTTCCGGTAAATGATCTTATGGCTGTAGAACATATCTTTCGCAGATTGGTGCAAGAAAGTGCAAAACGGTGAATTCTGAGAATGGTACGGTGGGTCCTAGAGAGGAGTTGAGTTCGACATCTGTATTAAAAAAATGTCATTCGGAACACATGAAAAGTACTGAGCGTGAAGAGTGGGGCAGCTTTTCTCACCGGCCCAACGGATCCTTTCTATCCTTTGCTGAAAGAAAATGACGACGTAGTGACGAGAGGTACCCTACGAGTATACCGCTGGATATGAGCGTGCGTCATGAAATCGACTTGAATCAGGAATCGAATATTTCATCACACGGTAGCAAATCTTTTCACGTAAACAGTGTGATGTCATTGACGCCTTTACATATGCGACATGCGAAATGGAATCGATGAGAAAGAGTAAATCCCCACACTCAGCGCCAATTTCTGAGCCAAGTAGGCTAACAGCAAGTGGCGAGTTATACCTAATAAATATGGTGCAATCACAAGTTTGGCATAAAAGCAAACATCGATGTTTTGCAGATCAGCATGGTCGACGGATCTTTTTTAGTTATCTCAACCTGGTTGATATTTATCCTCAACTGCTGGGGAAAGACAGCAATCTACTCTTGCTACGGCGAGGACTCCGTACTCTAGGAGCGGCAAAATTGCCAAATTGCTTTATACACGAGTAATGTTCTGGTGACACAGCTGTTCACGGCTTTCCACAACCTATTCCGATGATAAACTCTAAGTTGTTCACTTGAAAGCAGGACCTGCGGGTAAATCCCACAAAGTTTATAGTCATTTTAGATTGGCCAGTGCTTTTGCCCTAAACGGACTTACAAAAGAGTGATGACTTGGCCGACTACTTGTTCAAGTCGATGCCGGCATGGTATCAAGCCTCATCAATCGTCTAAAACGAATGTTCAAGAGTGTTGGTTTTACTCATCTCAGCTTTGGCCGCATGCCGAGACTCACGAGGATAGGCAGGTCGCGAGAGATAAATGCCCTACGTTAGCACTGCTCGATCAAAATGGGTATTTATGTATAAAATGGAACGTCTGGTGGCCAGCGAGTACACAGGATAGCTAGCAGTATCAGGGAAAAAACTATCCTCAGCTGATAAATAATTGAAATTTATTGACAAGATTCGATGCCTTGTTTCACTTTGGTTACATCATACGACGACAACGTGCATGTCAAAGTTAAATGTTCTCGAAGATCTTGCTTGCACGATGTTTATAAGAGCAAAGGTCGTTTGGATTAGTCTGATAATCTGTAGCTCATTTCTAATTGTTCAGTGTTGTGAATATCCAGTATTTAAAAAAGGTCATGAGCTTAGACCTTTTTAGCCCAACGAGATACGCATTGACGACAAACATTACATTTGTTACTTATCGCCTTGCTGGCGCTGGCCAGGAAAGGATCAAAAGGACACACAAAGCCATCAAGCGAGAAGAAAAGTGCATCGTGAGATGGAGAAGTGGAAGCCTGCTGACTTAGGAGACTAGCTTTATCTTCGAATGCCTAGTTCGACATACCAGTTGAAGATTTGAGGCTTGTATTCTGCATGATATGCGTAATAAACGCTTTGTGTATCTTTTGTGAGGCAGCTTCTACAAAATTATGTATTATTCAGGAAAAGGATCCATGATATTGGCTGTAGAAAAGATCTCATAGATACTATCGTGTAGGTTGATGCTCTATGCCCCTGATAGGCTGCTATAGACAAGTTGTGTCTGGTGACGAGAAAGTGAAATTTTACTGAAGTGTTTAATCTCGGGGTATGATGCGATAGTTCGCATTATCAAGGCATGGTAAGCAGAGGGTTTGCATTGGTCATCCAACGATATGGAAAAAAGAAAGTGTTCAAGGTCCTTAATGGATAAACAAGTGGCCCATAGACGTTTGAGTAACCGGTAAACAGATCGACTTGATAACCATGGTGGCAACGGCGGAGGTGGAATTAGGTCGTTCGCCGTCCTGGTATGGAGGTTTAGCTTGGGCATTTGCCTCGCCCAGAGCAAATCGAGCGACATAAAGTCGCTGCTGAGCGTTTTCTAGTCCCACATACCCGTTTTCAGCCGTTAGCCCCAGCACCATACTGACGCCGTGGCAGATTTCACGTATGGTTGCAACTATGGGCTCTGCATTCTTTGCTCACAAATTCTTCCTTGCTTTGATCTAGGTGGTGTCATCACTACTCCGTAGCTACTGGGTACCTCTATAGCCGCCAATGCAACCTTGAAGTAGTCATGAGCACTTGGGTTCGACTGCTGATGTCATCATCATCTTGTAAAGTCACATATGGCTTTTTTCTCAGTAGCGGAACTTCATCAGTTTCATTTCGCTTCATCATTATGCAAGTTTCTTAAACACAAGGAGGTAATGAAACGCCACTGAATCCCGTACGAAAATCACCAAAGATTTTGATCTGGTGTATACGACAGCTTTTTTTACGCTATCAGGAGATGTAACCGCGAGACCTGATCACAACTAGTGGCCACAGGGCTGTAAGGACTGGAAAAAATACAGTTCCGAAGAAGAATCACTTTTCAGCGAAATTGGACCTGGAAATGTAGTTACAGCTCGGATGACAATAGGTGTACCCCCGCGGAATATTTCAGCTCCTTCTGACGCCCCACATAGTCCACCAAAACATCCGTTTATGTGGTAAATTGCTAAACTACTGAGCGACCTTGTCGTCCCACGTGTAGGCACATCTGTGGCTGCATACTGAGCAGATTCATCACCTGATTTCTGGCAAGACAGCCGTTGCATTTCTTGCCAGATTCGCGGTAGTTGAAGCAGGTTCTTCATAATGCTAATCCTGCACTATCAATACCAAAAAAGGCGATGAAAGTATCAACAATCACGACGTGACTTGAGCAACATTTGCGTGACTTTTGCACTTGTGGTAAAGCAAACTAAGTACCTTGAGCAAGGTTCTGTTCAATAGCTGAACTTATCGTCGAGGGTTTCAGGGCGGGGTGTCGTATTACCATCCGCCGATGAAAAGTCACGAAATTCGAGATTCGTGCAGCATAAAGGCTAACAACTGTTAGCACCTCCTTCAGTCGTATATCGCCCGATGAAGTTGGAGGTGTTTGGTTGCGACTTGGGGAGTCACTGTACCTCCCTCATAAAAAAACTCGGCATCTGAAGGCAGAGGTGTTTGGTTGCGACTTGGGGAGTAACTGGTACGGAAATCCTCAGCATGTTCATCATGTCGTTTCTAGCGCATCTTTAAATGGGCTTATGATGTTGCTGAGAGCTCGTTAAGCCAGCTAATATGATGTACAGGAGGAGGCCTTTGTGGAAGCACGCACGGTCAAGTGCACATTTCAGGCGAAGTGGTTGCTCGTGGATCAGTCACTAAACAAAGACAATATATATCAGATTGTGTGTGACTCATGTCATGGCGGAGGATGGTGTGAGGGGCATCGGTAGGACTTGTAGGACCAACAAGTGCCACCAATTGTAAGGATCGTTTGCACTTATGAGGTGTTGGACGTTAGTTAGCGAATCAAGAATTAAGATTATTTGTTGGATTGATTTCTACGATATATGTAACCTATCCTATTTCTTCCCACTGATTTTTAATTGCATATCGTTCCTCCTATAATGTCGCCTTTCATTTTACTACTATGAATATATGTATCATCTCTACTTGAACGTGGGTATATTTTGTATACGTCAACATGAGACCTACACTCACTAACATTTTAGAACGTATTTTAGAATCGTGGAACATGTGAGTATGGTTCCTTACATTCTCCCCAATTTGATTTCTCGTTGGCGCTGTTTAAAGTCGACGACGAGATCATTCCAATGAGCTAGGTGCCGAATATATTTCTCTTTTTCTAGCTAGCTAATTCTTCTGTTTTTCATGCTACTGGACCAGCCATTCTGGTTGGCAATTAAACTGTATAATCTTTAGAAGATGCTGAATGAACTGAAGCTGATCCACTAAGTCATTATTCACAAACTTGGACGCTTTGGGGATAGGACGACGAAGGAATTTATCTGGATTTGATTTTTATTTTTGTAGCATATCAACATTGAAGGCTATATTAATTTCGTTCATGCTTAGTGACATCTTGAGTTTTGCCACGTTGGGATATATCATCTTGATGATCTCTAAAGGCCCAACTTTTCTTGCTGCATACTTTGCTCTTTGCTTCCCATATCTTTGGTAGCATGCCTGAGCGGAATTTTTCGTATCTAGCATAACTAGCTCCAGCTTTATAGTCAATTTGTTAACTCTTCTCTTCTGATCATAATTTTGCTTTTTAGTGGCTTGTGCCTTAAGTAGATTTTTTCGTGCTTGCTCAATTATTTTATGTTCTTTTTCACAAATTCTTTAGTCTGTACATAAATTTTCACTTTGAGCTTAATCCTTTTGCCATTAACGGCATTCTTTTTTCTGTGTATCAATCTAAAAGGGAGAAGATTCCGTGGATGCGCTGACAAGTGTCGAATGAGCATATTCTATGGTGCCTAAGTAATCTGTCCAATCTGTACCATGGAAAGACACCATTCATCTAAGTGCATCTTCAACGTCTAATTTTTGTCCTTCAGCTTGTCCATCAACTTGAGCTCGATGTGCTGTTGTCATACTAAGTCGAACACCCATGATTGTCATCAGAGGTTTACAGAATCTTAAAGTAAACCTGCTATCTCTGTCAATGATGATCACCTAAGGTAAGCCACGGTGTCGAAGTACAGCTTCAACGAATCCTTTGCTGTTGCAGGTGCGTCATCATTCGCATGCACTGCAGTGTATTTGGTACGTTTCGACAATTTGTCGACAACAGTTGGAATTACATCTTAATCATTTGGAACAGGAAGTCCTGTTATAAGATCCATGGACACAACATACCAGCATTGCTCTGGGATTGGAATGGGCATTAGCAAATTATTTTTGCGTTGATTATCATACTTCCAGCGTGTACAAGGTTCACCCTGACGTATTCCTTGATATTATTTTACATTGTCTTTTAATTAAGCCATTGCGCAACTCGTAAAACAAGTTCTTCGATTTCCAGGATGATCAGCTATTGTAGAGTCATGATATTGAGAAATAATTTGAAGTCGCAAGCGATACTTGTTCGGAACACAACGTCTTGCAACTTTACTAGAAGTTAACAATTCTTCATGTTTTCTGAACAACGTGCCTGGATCAGACTTTGTCCATGAGTCTTGAAGCTCAGGATCATAGGCATAACCTTAATGGAACATTTCACGATCTTCTGGAGACAACTCGACATACGACATGTTGCCACCATAGTAATGCAGTCATTACTATGGCAACATGAAGTGACTTAGTCCCCTGCCGGATCAGAGTTAGCTCAGAAGGTGAAGCTCGCAAACGAGAGTCACGAGCTTGACAATTAGCATCACAATTATGAAAGTTGATGCTTTGTCACGAAAGCACCCACTGTGCGTTTATTAACGCAGAGTCTTAAATTTTGTCAACAACTCCGTTGCACACTTAAATACCAGGTAAGTAATATCAAATTCTCGATGTAATCCTTGTGAATTAGAACAAAAGGGATGTTCTTACGCACTGTAGAGCTAATACACCCGAGGACTTCACCGCTCAAACCTACATCAGACTCAACTCGCAATTGTGATCCGACATGCTACGAAATCGTCATGCACCTCGCGCATTAAAAAGCTTTGACTTCGAGAACCCGCGTCAGCTAGCTAACCCAGAAAGGATCGACTCGTGTGCCGAGGTCAAACTCTTGTGCACATGAATATGGAAAATGAGGAGACGATATCCGCCGTGTTCATTTTGTTAATAAGCAAATAAGCTCCAGTGAGTGCAGGTCGTGTAAGTGTCGTGCGATTGTTGTTTACTCTGAACGAGTATATAGAAACAACGTTTACGCGGAAGCACGACCTGCATTTGCTTGAGCTTGTTCTAGTATGGAGTAAAGGGTATCTCGCAGCTATGATTTTATATGTATGAGCAATTTGACATCATTCGTACCGAATGTTAATCGCGTATATTTCCTTGCTCTTTGTCTCAGTATTCAAAGTGAAAGTAATATTCGGGAAGATTATTTCGTGTTTTATTTCACTACATTTTACATTCCTGACCGTATTGATCTTGAAGAAAATTCTCAGAATCCACGACATATAATTGAATATTTTACAACATTATTGTCGAAAACTTTGCAATTTATCAAAACCACGTGGCAACAAAACAAACAAAATGGACCAGTCAAATTTCCCCCCATAGAATTTCTTGACAACCAAAGATGAGCAACAACGAGGCTCCCGCCGTGTCCGTGGATGAGATGGAGATCCCGGACGTCATTGAGCGTCTACCCAAGCCGGACAAGTCTGAGCATGAGAAAAAGATTGCTGCGCTTGATAATGCTATTAAGACGCTTCAGGCTCGTTCAAGTGTGATTAATTCAGAGATAGACGCGCTTAAGTCAAACCGCGGCGGCTACGGTGGTCAGATTCAAGAGGCCAAAGCTAAGTTTGCGACACTTCGTGCTGAAAAAGACAATCTCATTCAACAGCGTAATCAGATCACGGCTCGTTTGCGCCAGACGCGTGACGAGAAGGACTTAACGATTAAAAACCAGCGTAGCACGCGCGACAAGTTTAAGTTTGGCTCTGAAGCTGAGTACGAAGCTGCTATCAACGAGTTGAAACGCAGACAAGAGACTGTTTCTATGTCGTTGACTGAGGAAAAGCGTGTGATTAAGGAGATTGAGCAACTCCAAGCTCAAAAGCTACAGGTCAGCAAGATTTCGGGCGATCAGGGAGTAGTGGAAAAGCAGAACGAAAGCATCAAGGAGATTCGCGCGTTGCAGACCAAGAAGAATGAGGAGATTGATGTATTACAGGAAAAATTAAATGAACAGAAAAAGACACTGGATGAGCTCTATCGTCTGAATGAGGAAGAAAGCAAGAAGGATTTGTTTCCAGCTCTCGTTAAAGAGCGCAAGGAGATTAAAGAGAAGCTGGACGAGAAGTTTACGACGATCAAGGCGTTGCGAAAGGAATTCAAAGACGCCAACGATAAATATTACACTAACATTCGTCTCGTGCGTCGAAAGAAGGAGCTAGAGCGTCAGAAAGAGGAGGAAGCTCGCAAGATCGAGTATGAGGCCAAACTTGCTGATTATGAGAAAGAAATGGCAAAGATACATCCATATCAGAACGAGATGGACCTCTGTGACGCCCTCATAACCTTTATGGAGAAGACGTACTCGAAAGAGCTCAAGAGTGAAGAGACGGACAAAATTTCTGACACAAGTGATGCTCCTCTTGTACTAGACGGTATGAAGCCGCTTCAGCGTAAGGAAGAGGACTTTATGATGTTGGGCGGTGGAAAAAAGAATAAGAAGGGGCGTAATGGCAAGAAGGCAAAAAAAATCTCGAAACTGATCTTGCCGCTGGCGCAGATGGAAGCTTTTAGTTCTATCGGTTTATTGCCACCCAATGCTGCAGATGCTGTCACTGAGTCGCTGGCTGCTATTAAAGCCAAGAAAATCTGGTTTAGTGAGCAGACAACTCGCACTGCTACTGACAAGCCCACTGATCATGCAGATGAAGCCGCTGTACCGGTCGACGTCACTTCCAAGAAAAAAAGCAGCAAGACTAAGAAGTTTAACGCGAGCGACAAAGACGCGTT